CGCAGTTTGCAAGCTGGAACAAAAGCCTTCCTGCACTTCAAAGTGGAGGAACAGATTGCCAGACTTGAACAAATATATTCCTTGCTTTTCCCTAATTCCACAAACAAAATCTAATTCATTCAAGGAATTCATATTTGTCTGCTTTTTTTTTTTTATTTCTTACACTTCGAAAACTATAAATCTTTGCTTCAGTCAAAAAACCAAAACCAAAAAAAACCCTAACAAGTCAGTATTAGAACAGCCCCAAAACTCAACCGTGAGAAAAGCAGACACAGCAGTCTTTCAACATCAACGATCAGGACTACTGTCTTCTCTGGTGCTGATGGGCAGTAAGGACATCACATAGGACATGAACTTATTCTATGATAATTAATTTCTAGTATCACAAATCAGTGCCCCAAAAATCATGTCTTCCAGAGACTAGCACTAAAGTCTGTCTCAAAATAGGACTAAATGTGCTTCTCAGATTTCAGTACAAGGACTCAGAGCAGAATGAAGAGAAATGGAATTTTGGGGTAGAGAATTATATACATGATCCAGCAAGTGATTATTTTTAGCAGTACAAGAAACCATGAAAGTTTTGGGAAACAAGCACTTTAAGATAGCTAACACTGCAGTCTGAGTTTTTATGATTCGTTTCAACAATATAAAAGCCAAGTAGAACATCCATGAACTTCACTGTGAGATGGAGTGTATCAAACTATGCTCAGTTACTACCACCCAGTGGCAGCCTGCAAAAGCAGAGTACTGACAGCATCTCATTTCCCTTTAGAGAGAACATGCTGCTCTCACTTCTCATTTTGTCTTTTGGATCTTTCTGGAAGGTGGAGGTCATCTTTCCCTGGCGGCACAAGCATGTGAGAAGTGACTACCCTTTTCTAAAATTTAGGCTTTTGGTCCGTGTTGTCACAGAAAGTAAGCATTACCTATTTCTAGAACTGACAAGATCCATCTTGCACAATATTGCTGCACATCTCCCTCCTATCTTCTTATGAAGCAGAGATTAACAGTTAGAAAACACAACCTAACATTAATCTAATGAGTTGAAGTTTTCCTAACATTTATTTACATGTGAAAGAAGTGTCACAGAATTGCAACATCCCTACTTGTTTCAGAAAGGACATGGACCTGCTGTCATTGGACTTTCTTCATATAGAAACCACCAGAACAAGGTGGGTACTATTTAGGATATTTCACACAGAAGTTTTATAAAGTAGTCAAGCTCAGATCCCCTTTAACAGCAGGACCGCATTTGAGAAGACCATCTTCCTGTCTGGTATTTTTTGAACCGTAATCATAGACAAATCACCATTTCATCGGTGAGTCCTTCCCTCTACAAACCATAAGTTTCCACAGTTAATTAGTACATTGTGATGTACAGAGGCGGTCTTAGAAAAGGCTGCATCATGTGAGAGAGATACAAATGTTTAGGCAGATATAGCCAGTTAGGTCAGAGAGATTATCAGATATACACTTAGTAGCTCTCATACGTTAGATTTACTAACGGTATATTGGTTTAATGTCAGAGCAGCAACGTTTTTTGGTTTTAATAAAAATTAAAAAAAAGGTCACCTGCAAAACAGCTAACTTGACAGTGCCAAGGCACATTATTTCATAAAAAACAGTTTTAGGAAGTCTGCAAGATATAGATACTGTAGTTTCAGACAGCAGACAGTCTGGAATACCACTGAGATGTCACTATGCTATCTCAGAACAACCTGAAAACAAGAGCTCTCAGTCTTCTTCTAGCTTCCTTCATAATTCAAGCACTATGAAGACTATAAGGATAAGCAATAGTCCATCTGTAGCACAAAGCCAGGAATATGATTAAAAACAAATACCATTTTAGTTAATGAAATACTGATTCATTGATAAACATGATAACTAAATTTTCTAATTAACTTTTGCATCTGAAGTTTACAGTGAGAATTTTTTTTTTTAAATGAACAGTTTTGTACAAAACAGACTTCAAACTTTTTCCACTGCTTTCAAAGACAAAGTAAGCAAAATCCTTTAAGTGCATTTAAAGTACAACCTGTATCAGTCATTTTTTCTTCTGGAATACTTTGTTTTTGAAAGATTTTTTTTCTGTTCTATCATTGTAAAAAAGACAAATGACATTGTAGTCATGAAGTCATGTTAAATGCATGTGCAATTGAACCATTACTCTTTTCCAGCTGCAGTGATGCTACGCAATTTGGGATTTTTTTTAACCTGATTTCACTCTTTAACTCCTATTGTTTTGCTTATTTTGGGTCTGCAGAACCAGCAGAAAGTTTCTGAACGTTCACCACTATTGAAACAGTAGAATAACTTGTTTCTATTACTCAGACCCTTATGGAAGGTTAGCAGAATGAAGGTATAAACTGCAGAAGAACGGTAAGATCTGATTAGTCATTTATTCCAAACATTAGATCTATTTCCTTCTCTTCTAGTATACCAACCAGTCAACAAAGAATTCCAGGTAACCTTCATCTGGCTTCTCCAACTTTGGTGTCCCCATTTCAGCTTTTACACCTACCAAGATATCAGTGTGTCCCTGTTAAAACAAAAATGTATCACGCAACTAGAATTCTACTCACAAAACTATTTGTTTAATTTAAATGTCTACAGCAAGCTGAAATTTCTACCTTTCGGTTATCTGCACCCATCATTCTATCAGAGAGAACTTAAAAATCACATTAGCTTTTTTTAAAAAAAGGAAAGGCTTTAGAAGAACAATGTTAAGCCTAAGAAGTTTTTTTCAAATAATCACCATACATACTAGCTTTCTCTAGGTTAAAAAGGCACTCTTCGTATCCATGCCTTTTTCTGTAATTTTGGTTCTGGAAACAGCTATTATCTGCAGAACCTTTAAAGTACTGCATAGTATATTTATCTTCTTCACAGTCAACACATGCCAGAAGTAGTTTTGCTTCACTCTAGAGGAACAGAATTATTTTCTCCAGCGAGTAGGCACAACAGCAATTTCATTTTTTCAAGATTAAATGGTAGATTAGTTCAGACTGAAGGCTCTTCAGGTACTTGATTGTAAATCTAGCTCGGTTAAGTCAGCCTGAATGAATTATATATCCCATCATTACTTCCTTAACCCTTGGTTTCAGTTAATGCTATATATACACACGTTTTCTTACACACACACAAACCCATCTACAAATAGCCTCATCTTATCTTAAAAAACTAGTCACATAGACCAGAAGTCTCATCAGCAAGGTACGTGATCCCTAAGAAATTTACCAACCAGCTTTACTCTTGCAGATCCACTTGTGTTTGATACAACATCCGTTTCTACTTCTGCACATCTGTAGTCTTCACAGCCACGACCATCCACACGAAGGTCCTCCTAAGAACAACAATCAATATATTGTGCTTAAGGGAATCAGTAATGAAAGTAAAAAAAAAGAATCTGTGATTTTAAAGTCTCCTTTTCCTATGCCAAAACCAGCAGTAAAATCAATATAAAAGCAACAGCTCCCAGTTTCATCACTAAGGGTCACGTAAGCGTACAACAGAACCAACTGTACTTTTCCATCCACCGATTCATCTAGAGCTGCAGACAGACCTGAACTCCTGCACTACTTCCATCCCATTTCAACACAAAGCTTCAGACTACAGAAGTGTAAAGGTCTGGGCTTTCAAAGGTACTTTACCTAACACAACACGGCTCTTTCTTGGGATACTCAAGTCCTATACTTTTATATATGTAGTTAGGACCCAGTGGACAAAAATAACCTGCCAGCCTTCCAAATGCTTTCATCTGCTTCTATTTCAAAAGCAGATACTATGCACCCTCAGATACTACACAGCTCATCCCCATAAAAGTAGTTTTCTTTGCAGTAAAATAGTGCTTCTGTACTTTGCAGAAAATACAGTCCTGCTATCTTTGACATTTCTCCCCACATGTCCTTCGCTCTTCCTCCTTGGTCCACTCACTGTTCCTTAGCTTAACAACAGACTAAAACTCTAAGCAACGGCAAAAACTTGAGAAAGAGCAAGGGAAGGGGGGAAAGAGGAGGACAAGAAATGAAAAAAACAAATCCATGTCCTGTTCTCAGCCTGCTTTCTCTTCTGATGCTCTGTTCTCAGCGTGCTTGGATAATTACTACCCCCGAGATTTCCCTCCCCTCCCCGACACCAGGTAATGGAAAGCTCCCTCTCTCCTTCCCAGAACAGAATAGAATCATTAAGGTTGGAAAGGATCGCTAAGATCATCAGTCCAAATGTCAAGCCAACACCACCATGCCTACTAAACGACATCCCAAAGTGCCACGTCTACACGGTTTTGGAACACCTGCAGGGATGGTGACCCCACCACCTCTCTGGGCAGCCTGTTCCAATGCTTGACCACTCTTTCAGTAAAGACATTTTCCCTAAGATCCAATCTAAACCTCCCCGACCCAACTTGAGACCATTTTCTCTCGTCCTAGAGAGGAAACTACAGCCTACGCTCTAACTCGTCCCCGCCCCACACCTGCTCACAGGGAGCAAGCCCGGAGGGGCGAGGAAGGGCCCTGCCTCACGCCTCACAGGGCAACGCTACCACCGGCCACAGGCACGGCC